TCCTGCAGTTGACCCTGTCCAACAGGGGAAAAAAATCTATTTGATGTAATGCAACATTTCCATTCTCAACACCTACACAAAACAAAACATGAAGGCATGTCTAACCATTGTGATTTAAAATGGCACAGCAGTTCTGAATGACATTGAATCAAAAATGTGTAGAATTTGTTGTGATGATATTGCAACACTGTGAGTTCTGGTTTAAGAACATATGTGTGCCATTCTGGTATTATTCGTGGCGAAGAAGCAAAGATCAATGACAGCCCTGCTTGCAATGTCCAGTGTGTTCATCCAGTCAGTGATGGGTAGGGTTCATCTGAAGGACGGAGCCTGTAATTTACGATTAAAATCACGTCTCAAAAAGCAAATAATCTTGGCATGAAAAAAGATAAGAGAATTACATCAAAATGACACGATGAGCAACAAGCAGAGGCTTGTGAGAGATGCTTATAGAAGAAACTTTCACGCTGCTAATGATCCAAACCATGGTTCATTTGATTCGTACCAAGACCATTTCTTTTGATTAGACTAGAAATCTTCGAGGCATATTTGTTATTCTAGTTCAAACTGAAATGAAAAGTCAAAGGGTAGAGACCAACCAATGTAGGTACGGAAACGCCCTTAGACACAGTGGCCTAGATTCGATAAGGCATCAGAACTAGGGATTGTGGGTTTTTCACCTGGGGTACATTTGTCTAATTTGTATCCAATTCAAGTGCAAGTGCCTCAGCATGTGTATATGCATGTAATTGTACAGTGATGACAGCTGTCGCAGAAAAAGAAGGCAACATCTGCTGCAGTTACATTATCTATTTTTCTTTTGAATATTTGATTTAAAAAAAACTGTTTAGGGTGGGGCTCTGTTACATGCAAGACTGAAGCCAGCACATTGCTACAAAAAAACAGTGTGCATATTTTTATCACAATGAAACGGATTTGAGTCATTACATATCCCACCACATGTTTCATTAGATGATACTTAATGAATCAGAGGTAGTAGAGGTGGGACTGCTGGCTGTGTGTCAGCATCACAGGCCATCTGTTATGTACAGATGTGACTGTAAAAATACATCTCATGCACAAACCACACATTCTGTGATCTTTCTATAATCTGTTAATTGGAAAATAAGATTAAAAAGACAAATGTTGGCTGACATACCACTGTAACATATATGTTGTACTACTATACTGTAACTAAAAGGCTCAGTGAGAGGATTTCAAAGGTTATTTACTGAGAATCTACTCATGCAGACACATCAATCGTTTTTTTTGTTACATGCTGCCTCGAGAAATGGCACAGCAGCGCTAAATTGCTGTCCTGCAACATAATCCACGTTTCATTTGACAGCAGCTGTGACGGAAGAAAGCAGTCCAGTGTTGATTACTGTATCAGTATTGAACACTGGAAAAGGCGAGATGGATTCACGGGTCAGACATTTTTATGGACCTGAGGCCAAACACAGCTCTCTTTTCTTTTGTCAATAATGTTGCTGCATGTAAATACAGTGAGACTGAGTTTAAGCTTTAGGTTTCATATGATCACAAACATTAACAGAATTCATCAAACATTTGATCACAAAAAATATTTGATCAAATATACTCAAATCTACCTATCATTTTATTCTAGGTTCATGCTAGCAAAGGTGTGAGAGATGTACTGCTGCAAATCATGCTAGCATCATGGCTGCAGGGATGTAGGTTTTGATTTACTTCACTGTTTCAGGCTAATTAGCAAATATTCACATTTTTTATCTTCTGGATACTGCTGGCTCCAAATGCACAAGATGGCAGCGCTCTGATTCAGGATATTTTGGCCTTACGTGGAGACGCGCTGTCAGCAGTGCTATGTTAATCTGCCCTTTTTTGAATGGCATCCAGTCCCTGCGGAGCTCAGCTATACATATTTTGGTATAAAATGCTAATGCTATTATTAAATGGCATTCATTGTTTGTGTGTGTCTTGCAGTTTGCCCCACCAGCAGTGCAGGCAGTGTTTTCAGAGTGTGTTCGTTCCAGTAGCTTAGGAGTAGATTGGTAACTTTTTCTATTTTGGCACATGCTCATGGTGACTCATTACTTGGACGGAGGCCACATGCACACAGAGAATTAAGGAAAATACAGCCGTTTGAATTCCTGTTGTGAGTGTCACAAAAAAAGGCAGACGAAGAATAAAATAAACATATCCCCAATACACAATGAGTCAGAACAGTACAGGGTGTCTGATTACCACCTGGCTGTTTGCATATTGTGCTATTCAAAAGTGTTAAGTGTCAACAGACGCCCAGAGTGAAATGCTGTTAAAACCACAATAGTTAACGCAAGTGCAAACTCTGCATTTCTGTTTAAAAGCTTTTTTTAAGAATGGGATAAATACGAGACAGCATGGATGTGAAACATTTTTTTCACTGTCCTAGAAACAATAGTACAGTGAATATGGGTCAAGAACATAAACAGCCCAGTCTGACCTTCAGACCAGGGGACTATAAATCATAGGCATGTAAAATAATAAACAAAACTATATGACAGTATGGTGGACGGTTAGAGGACAACAACAGAGTGTCTGTGTTTGTGTGTGCGCAAGCACAACCACGTTTGCTGCTGTTGTTTCAAAGCCTTCCTGGGCTACAAACAAGGTGATGGATGCCTGTGCCAGAGTGTGTTGACTGGACACAGCCACACTGCCTCCTAGGTCTTGATTAATTGATGGGAGATGGGAGCAGTTTAAGCTCCCCTCGGCCCTCTGTGTGCTCTCTCTTGGCCTGTGTGACTCAGTATGAGTGCAAAGTGCAGCAATGTTACAGAAGCAAGGACTTTGCAAGCATTTGCAGGGACATTTGCAAGGCTTATTTTGGAGCTAGAGGTTGAGCGTATCATTTGAAACAAGGTTAGTTTCAAGTGATTAATATATTCTTTGACTTTTATGTTTGCCCTCAATCTGCTCGTGTTGCTCTGTTTGTGCTGAATGTATAAACTGGTAATATGTTAGTAAACCATAGCACAGAAACATCTCTTTAAGCTTTAAATTTGTTGCAGTGAGGTTGATTTAGAATATCTCTGCCCCCTAGTGGTGAAAATTCAGATAATCCAGCTTTAAAGGTCAATTTCAAATATATATATATATATATATATATATATATATATATATACATGAAAATGTGTTTTTTATATTTTACGATTTTACCAATAAGTGGGTTTCTGAGAGTACAGTGCACATAACCCCCTGTTTAAACCTGTTATCAGAATGATCTTTTTGAGTGTGAAAGAAAAGAATGGGCAATAATATGACTACATCAAAGGAACAATGATATGATCATATGGACTTTTGTTTTCTTGTCTGGGAGCTTTTTTTTGAGAAAAAATCTCTGTGCTCGTCTGTTCATGCACATCACTAACACTCATAGATTGCTACCAATGTCATCACTTCCCATATTGACTCCAGCAAATAATTTGCGTCATGATAAGTTTGACAGTTTGGAATGATTGTCAAAAGTTTCAAGATTAAAAAAACAAAAGGAAAAATACAAGGTAATGCAACCATTTAGAGGAAAGAATGATACAATCTGATACTGACTTCCCTGGGGAGCTGTAGCATCAGCAGAATCCTCTCAATTCTGCCAAGAAAATATTTTCAAGTAAAATCTTGAGACAGCTGACATTTCACCACAGATCCCTGCAGATGAAGAGGAAATGAAAAGGTTTCAAATGATCTCAAGCATCTGATTTCACCTGACACAAACCTGAAGCCTCTTATTGTTATAACTATTTTAGAGCCTTCTTATTGTCACCTTTGGAAAAAAGGGGTTGAGATCATCTGTCAGTGCCATTTCATGACTGACATATCTACCCATTTTATTGCAGATATCTATGGATACAACACAAAGAGCTGCCTGAAATGAAAGTGGTGGAACAGAAGAAGCGAACAAAATGTTTGTTGCAAACACTAAAAGACAAAGCACAACATGCCAGCTACTCCCCAGGGAGACTTTTCAAACCAGCTGCCAAAACTGCTATGATCAATATTTTATATCCACAATGGACCAAATGACTAGATGCAATTCAAAGGTACGGGAAGTGACAAACCCACAGATCATCCAACTTCCTCTCAGCTCTTCGGAGCATATTTTGCACTTAGCACCTGCAAAAACCAAACCTGGGCAGTAAAAAAGAAAATGACCCCAAGTGAACACTGCTGTCCTTTTGCTTGTTGGTTAGATTGTGTGTTTAAAAGCACATTTACACGAACACTACAAGATGTATTTCCGAAAAAAAATGGTGGAAGGACGCAGTATGAGTCAGTGAATAATCCATTAAATGTTGGTATGAATCCAGATCAGGCAGCAGAACCACTTTTTTTTTTACCATTGCAAGATTTGGCATTTTGCACCATATTCCTTGGGAATAATTCATGGAATCTTGATGAAAATTAAACATGTTTAGGGGTATGATATTTATGAGCGTGTACAATTCGGTACACTTTAGGGTTACTTGGGCCTTGGCGGTGGGTATGCGCTCTACTGAGTGCCATTGTAATATTACTCTGCATCTGCTGACTGTGGAAACAGAAAACTATTTGCCAGCATGTACCCTGCAGCTCAATAAGCCAGGTTGTGGCCTGATAATGACAAATTAAATCTAATTCTGATGTTTTAAATCTGCATATCACATGTCATTTGAACAGAATAAGTCATTTTTACAAGAAATATCTCTTTCGGGAGACAGTCAAATATATTAAAAATCTTTTGGATCCTTTAGATTAACTTGGAAATGGTGAAATAAGAACTGTGCTGACATACAGAAAAATCTTATGTAAATAATTGGATGTGGTTTTTCGTGCTCACTATGTTTAGAAGGCATATTTTGTCATTTAAAAAGTACTTAAAATAAGCTAATGTTACACCTTTTTTGCATTTTGTTGGAAACTAAAGAGAAGCCTTCTGCCAGGGTGCTGTTCCATTCATGCACTCCCTCCCTCCCCTCTCTCCCTCTGCATGCTCTCATCTCCTCCTGCAGGAATACAGCCTCTTCCTCCGCCGCTGCAGCCTGACTCTGACACAACCGGCATGTCTGCAAACTGAGAGCCAGAGAGGAGCCACCATACCGACCCCACGTCCACACACACACAACTTGCTTTTGCCCCTCATCCCGCAGAGGGAGGACAAATAAAGGTGGTTGTGACCCTGCGACGAGGCTTTTTCCTTCTTCTTCCTCTTCTTCTTCTCCGGAGGGATAAAGACTTGGGAGGAGGATCATAACAAGGTAAAGAATGCTCGTACAAGAAGGGGGGGCGATGTGCGGCTTTTACTGTACGGGACGGGATGGAGGTTGTTGGTGCAAGATGCTGATGCTTCCCTAACGCAGTGTATGTGATCCAGTGTACGTGCGCGGAGGATGCAGTGGCTGCAGAAATACACGTAGTGTACAATAGTGTTATGTAGCACCGAGATTCATCGTGCAGGTGCAGCGAGTAAAAGGGTTCATGTGAGGAGAAAGTGATGCTGCTGCTGCAGATGATGATGATGATGGTGAAGAAGAGGAAGGGAACCAGGAAATGAGTTTAAGACGCTCGGCTGCTCAATGATTCCACTTTGGGTTAATGAAAAAAATATAATGTATAAAAATAATAGTGGATGGATGAGTTAAGTTTCATTTTTCTGCAATGGCACAGGGACGTTGGCAAAATGCAGCAAAACTACCAGTGTTAATTAGGTCGTGAATTATGTAAAACAACATGAAGTACAGTAGGTGGCTATAAACTGAGTTTTGAGCCAAGCAAATCCCGTGGATATGTTTCCGAAATTATGGAAATATAAAAATATTATAATGTACATTTTTTCATATTTCCATACTCACAACTGATCATCCCGGACAAAGAAAGTCTCAGAAATCTTATAGAAACATGTTGAATTCTGTGTAAAGTTATTATAAATTCACTGTCAAGCGGTCCTGAGTAAATCACAGTAAGTCCCAGGAGAAGAAGAACAGATAAGAGTGATAAGAGAAGAGAATAAAATGCCACACTGTCTAATATATTTACACGAGAGCCATATACACACTGTAAAACATCTCGGAAAAAACTCCCCTTTGTCTTGCACATTAATGCTCGATTGTGTGAGGTTCATGTACTGACTAAAAGCACTTGCTCATCTTTGACCCTGTCTGTGTTTCTTTGTGAGGACCCCATTTATTTATTTTTTTACATTTTTATTCTGGGAGTTATTTCCATGACGATACATCACGAGCAGTCTGGCAATGTCAGCATAAACCCCCACAGGATGAAGTGTGGTCGTAAATCGAGGGCGCAGGTGCCTCGGTAAAATTCATGTCCTTGGGCTGATGCTGAAAAAGCTGGTACAGCCAAGTTAATTCATTTTGTTCTGCTTTTTCATTAATTGGAATAAAGATGATCACATTTTTGGAATGTTCAAGATCATACAACCCTTGTATATGAAGGTTTTGTTTTGTTTTAGGGGTCTTTATTTTTTTATCAATCATCATTCTTCCCTGCCCCATCAAACTCCTGAATGTTTTAAAGGTGGTATCCACAGTTATACAGCTTTTGTATTCTGTCCCCTGGCTGCAGGTCCGTCCCTGATAACGTGACCAGTGAAGGAAGAGAACACAGAACTGCTTCATCATGAATTTTGTAATGAAAGCTGCGATGGGAGGTGAGTAGTCTGCCCGGGCTGGAGGTTGATTTAACAGCACTGCAGTGTAAAGGATTTAAAGGGGATGTTCGGCACCAGGGGCAGCAGAGCTGTTCGAATACTATACTGTAGCCCAGTAGTTGTGGGCGCTGACACTGGGAAGCGATAGATAATCCATCCGAGCTGCACCACACTTCAAACATCAGCTATGATTTCCCTCTTTCTTCATCTCTGCATCCATCGCATAAAAACCTCTTAGGGTAAAAAAATCCAGACTTATTAAAAAACAAGACCAAGTCTTTTGAGAGTGCCATAATGCGAAGGAGGACGGACACCTTGCTCCTGGTTTGTTGCTCGACATTTCTGCTCTCGTAGAAAAAGTGACCTGTTTCAGTGACCTGAGTGAACAAGGCTAGGACTGCTGCAGATGGAAGAAGAAGGTCACCGGCAGCAGCAGCAGCAGTAGAACACTAGGCCTACTCATAAACTAATAATGCACCTGTTTCGTGAAAGCCTCTTATATTTAAAGTGTCACCTTACCAGGACCGCAGCAATCTTATTTAGATTCAGGGGTGGAGTGGGAGGAGGGGGCTGAAATCTGATTAGCCCTTGAAATGCCTCTGTCCTGCCAGTAGTCTTTTTTTCTTCAAAATTACTCACAATCATAACAATAAATATAACAATGTGTGAGTTTTTTTTCCAAAACTAAGGAGTTAACAATAAACAAGGAATGACGCAAATGTGCACCTTACTGAATTAGTATGGATGTCTGATACATAATTGGCCCCTAAATTTAGAAAAATCCTAGATCCCCCACTGCTTCTAGCTTTATTTTAATGCACTTGTTTCGTTTATAGGCAGAAAGATAGCTGACGTTATGGGGTTAGTTAGTGAGTCAGGTTTTTTTTATACGACATTGTTAAACAAATTGAGTATTCTTTTGAAGCCAACTGTTGGTAATGTTTAAGGCAAGAGATAAAGAGCCAAGAACATGAGACTTTTGTCCTTTAAAGCCTTCAGGTATTATCCTTTAGAATATTATCTCAGCGATTATTTGCCCCCTCATTAGTCCTTGTTATAGTCTTGTAATTCAGCCTCCTTGTCAGCTACAGCTTCAAGCGGAAAAGGCAGGAAAGTGGCAGTGATGATATTGTAGCAGCTGCACGCACATACACTGTAGTCGGTCAGCCGGGACCGTGATGCTGAGCTGCTCTCGTTCAGGTTTCAGGGGTGGTTACAGCTGGGACGTTAAGTTTGAAGCGCAGTGCTGGGTCCTCATTGGGATGCAGAGGATGCGAGTGCTGCCTCGTTCTGCATAGTTGCCGTGGTTCGTGTCTGCACCCTGAATTCTTAAATCAACTGCATTGCATTGGGTGCTGGCTGTACTCCGCAGAAGTCTTACAACACTCCGCCTGCGGACATCTGGAGTACATTTAACAGTGCGGGTGTTTGCAGGAGTGTGTGGGTGTGTCTGTTCTTTGCCTGGTCAGATATTTTATAGATGCTATAAGATAGATGTGTGTGTGTGCTGCTACTCTAGGCAAGTTAAATCATGGACTGCACAGGCCTACTTAAGAGTATAGATTTTTGTATATGAGAAAACGTGAGAGAGTGAGAATATTTGATAATATCAAGGTATGTGTGTCTTACAACTGATACCTGTGTCTTTCCGGGTGATCGACCGCTGGCAATGCGTTTCTACATCACGTATAGGCGTCCTTTGGCTCTGGTCCACATAGAAACCTTATTTCCATAGAAATGTCTGCAGAAATGCTGACACTGCGTTGATCACTAAAGCTCCCTGTGGGGGTGCAAAAATCAGATAATGAAACAAACCAATTAGCCAGCAACTCAATCAGTTAAGCTATCACTCCAGCTGCCAGAGCCTGTCAGTCAATAAATCAATGTTAGTGAAATATTCCTTAATCAATTACAATGCATTATTGGGTGTCCCTGTGTTTTAGTGGTCTGAGCAGAGTCCTCACTTTCAATCCCAGCTGGGGACAATTGTCTCATGTCGTCCTGCATTCTATATATCCTGTCCTGTGTTTCCTGTCCAGCTTCACGGTCAACTATAAAATCAAGGCAAAAACAGAAGATTAACATATTTTCCACTGCATCTATTTAAGAAATTATATTACCATCATTTTGTAATTTAATCGATCATTCCATCATTTTGGTCAAAATGGATATATCTTAAACATTTCTTGATGGATTGTCATCAATCTTTTCCTCTGTAGCTTCATCATGAGGTTGACATTCATGATTTTGAGTAAAACATTTCTACAACAATTGGACAGATTTCCATGAAATTTGGCTCAGAACTTCATGTTAACTGCAGGATCGATGGTAATAATCTTAATATTTTCATCAGCGCCATCATCAGGACTAAAATACCTCAAAACTAATGACATCACAGCTTGAATTGTATTTTTTAGTTTTTAGTGTTTCTGTATTTCAGCAGTGGTGTCCTAAAACTTGTCACAAAAATGTCCTGACAGCTTATATATGGATATTTTCACGATTAAGAAATAAATGAGTGTCCTGAAAGCCTGAAACAGCAGTCGTGCAGTGATAATGTAAAATAAGGCTATTTAAAAGGAAGGCTAGCTCTGCAGGTAGAGACCAATTACTTGTATTATTATAAATCAACAGCACAATGTTAGCATAAAAAAACACATTGTCATCCTGTTAGCTGCTGCACAAGTTAAGATAACACTCATTTTATTATATTTGTATTATTAAATTCTCACACTTTCCTCAAAATATACCAGTCCCTGCTAAATTGCTATATTAAAGATGACTGGAGTATAGAGCTTCACTCCTGACGTCATTACAAGCTTTAGTCAATATTACACTCCAGCCATGAGAACTCCCACAAGAGACTCTGCATGTTTTTTAAATTGTAATGCGTCACATCTTCCATCCCAGCAGCCACCAGTCTGCTCCTCTGGCAGCTGTCAGTGAGTCCCAGACTGAACCTCTAAACATGTCAAACACAAAGCAGTATTCAGTTACCAGCCTAAAAACACACAGTAACAGTATGTGTTAACAACGCTGTGTCAAAGCCCGACCTCACTTTGTGGCTTTAGACTTTAATAGTTATTTTATACTATGAATTAGCACACGTGCGAAGGAGCCATGTAATGCTCATGTTCAGGTTCATTATTTCAATATGGATTATAACTTGAAAAGGTTGACATGCTCTAATGTTAAGAATCACTGATGTTTCTAAAAAAATCTCATCGTGACAAAGATGACCCAGCTTTTGGTCAAACCTTCAATTCTGTGTTTTTCCTTGTGCGTTGATTGATCTTGCTCCTGAGTGCTTCTCTGCTGACTTTATTCCCAAGGTTTGACGCTCAGTCAAACCTTCAGTCAGAGGTGCAACCTCGAAGTAAGTGGTCAAATTCAATAACCAGATTTAATTTTTTAACTTTAACTTTTGTATTATGTCTCATTAAAAATGTGTGATTTGCCCAACTGGGAAACCAGTCTGCTATAGCATTAAATATAGATAGATGTCCTGACAAACAGGAACTATACTGTATTCTTTCACATCAGTAAATCATTCTTTTTCATTTTTTTATATGTTCAATAGACTTGACTTGAATAAAAAAGCAACCGTCATTATTTTGGATGACAAAAATAAATAAAGATGCAATTTCACTATAGGTTGACACCAGAGGTGATAAAATGTATGTGCAGTCTGGAAAATACTCGACAGCCTCTGTGCTGATTATTCTCAAAATAGACAGTGAATGGCCTAGTCCTGACTAAAGCTTTGTGAAAGACTCAGTAAAAACAAAACTTGTTTAATATTTAATCCCATTAGACTCTGCACTAAGAGTAGAGCTTTCCAACACACACACTATTGTTTTTTTTCCATTCCATTTTGCAAAATGATGCAAGGATGATGTGCTTGTAGAAGGCAATTTTAAGAAAGGCTGTCACTGCTGTCACTTGGAAAGGATTTAAGACAGAAAAGCAGTGAACCAGAGACGACCTCGTCATGACCTCAGTGCTGTGCATTAATTTCCTATAACTGTTCATCCTGAATTACAAATCAGATAATGTTAATGTAAGACTGCTGTCCACTAAAGCATGAAGCTTCTGAACCCTCCGAGAAATTAAATAAGAAGGCAATGAATA